AAACGAAAAAATTCCGCTGGCGGTTGTATAAACATCAGATCAAGTCTGATGTCTTCAAGGATTTCAGAGTGAACCATAAAAAACTCCATTAACTTCTGACAAAGAATGCAAATTAATCACAACATGGGGTGAAATGAAATTAAAGGCTCTTTTCTAATCAATGACAAGGCGGGATGAAATATCTGTTACTCTCTCTGCACTCAGACTGCCTGGGATGTTTGCGCTTCCCTCGCGAAGCCCCAAATGTAAGGTGTGAGTACAGATTCACCCGCAGTTGCCGTACAACCCTCCTGCCCCCCCAGAGCTATCTGCTTACAAGTCGTGGAGATTCACAAAACACACTAATCATCTGAATCTCAGGTGCATCCAATTTGTTATTCACACTCTCCCATGCCAGTGAAAAGCCTGGCGCAGACAGATGCACCAGGAACCCTAAATGACAGTTTTGGCCTCCGGAAGTACGATCACTACAACAAAATCTAGTACAGCCTCCAGGTGAAATGTCTGGAGCTCCATATGGAGCAGGGAAAATTAACAACAAGATGAAAATCACTGCAGCAGCGGGGAGTCGGAATTTTTGAAAAAAAAAAATGAAATTTAAAGATGAAGAAAGAGAAGTAATAAATTAATGGGGTGTGAAAACATTCAAAGCTTTACAATACCAGGGGCACTATTTGCTCAGATTTTTTTCCTTTTTTTAACTTCAGGTCATTTTGATGTAATTTATTAACCAAGATCAGGAATTGTAGCCAAAAGAACAACAACATTTTTATACATACAAAAGTACTTTAAGTACATTTATATCTGTATTACCTTCACTTTCCTGTGGCATCCTGCTCACCAAATTTCCAAATGCCAGAGCTGACACACCCCCTGAGAAGTCTCCTTAATGGACTTACTATCATCCTATGCAGGGCACTATTGTAAAGTTTGAATGAAGGATGACAATTTGTAGCAGGCAATCTTTTTCATTTCTCCTAAATTATGGTGTCATTAAACAAACCATTGCCCACCGTCATGTTTTTTAAGTCTTTTAAGTCAACTGAATTTGGATCTACATGATTAACTATACACAGCTCCAGTCCTTGTCCAGACCTGCACCTCTTTCCAGATTACTGTTAATGCTAAATTATTCAAGAAATGAAGATACTTTTTTGGTTGCGAGACATTTAAAAACACAATTTTTCATGATCCTAATGCTTCACAGGCACCCAGAATTTAATGGTACTGGGGTCAGGGAGAGCTCTGGAGCCCTGTGGACCCTCCCATCCCTCTGCTAAACACACAGTAGGAAAAGCAAAAGGGCTCTAGGGAATGGCCTTGTCATCATCTACCATGGCATGGCCCCTGATGTTTGGCATTTCTCATCCACATAAGAGGCCTCCTGGAGTGGAGAAGGCAAACCAGGAGGAGGCCTTGGAGGGACTCAGTGGGCAGAAGAAGAGTGGTACGAACAGCCAGCCACATTCAGAGTCCACAGAGCCCAGGCATTTGGTTTAGTTGCCTGCAAGTCCTGGGTCTAACTGCACCCATTCAGCCCTGAGGCAAGGGGCCTCACCTGTCCAGGCCTCCGTCTGCTCACCTGGAGGTTGGGAATAACAGCCTCTGAGGGTGGGATGTACAGTCTGAATCAGATAATAGGACGTGATCTGAAGCTCGATGTCTGAAAGGTGCTAGATGGATCCAAGACATCGCTGTTGTTCCTATCGTAAGTTGTAGTGATACGGCTGTGCACTTACAGTGGCTCCTAAACTTTTGCTCTATACAGTCCTAAACTGCATGCCAATGAGGCTATGCAACTTTGAGGCCTAAAGGAAAGGAAACTAGACAGTGCTTCCCAGTAACAAGTAAAAACCTAACGCACAAAACAATGAAGTTCCTATAGAATGATTATCTCCACAAAAATCCAGTCCTCTAATCTTTATGTTGGTCCCCGGCCACCAACTCTCCATGATACCTTCCTGACACCCTTCCCTCACCTGCATCCCCACTGGATACACACTGTGTCGCCGGTGGGAAGAGGGGCCGTTAACGACATTGTCAGCAGCACTGACACTGGGCCGGTGGAGGGACAAGTCTCCAAGCGTGCCTCTCCTCCCTGCTTTCTGCTTTGCTCAGTTTATGCTCTGCTCCAGCTATAGCTTGCAGGTTGCCAAGCACATCCTTTTGTGAACTTTGGCAGACGATTAGAAATTCTGTTCTGTGCTACGGCCCAACATCAGGGCCAGTGGGTTGGCCCTTGGTACTTTTCAAGTGGTTTCAGAGCACATTTGCATACTTGCTCTAATCAGATAGGAAAGGTAGGTATCAGGAACCGCATTCTAGATTTAAGGAAACTAAAGCCCCAAGGAGTTACAAAGCAAGAATTTAAGGCCTATGGTGACCACAGTTTGTGGGAGAGTTGGGTCCCTATTCTCATCTTTTGCCTCCTGGTCCGGAGTTCTGTCCAATAGGCCGGTCTTCTCAACTTGCCATTAGTGAAAAGCTCAGATCTGGTGCCCTGATCAGACTTTGAGTTCAAAGTAGCAGTGTGTTGGGACTGTCCCCAGCCCTGGACAGAAGGGATGCAAAACTATGTGATCATGAGGATCTATGAAAGGCTTTCACATGTTCAAGGACCAGACCAGCAGGTGACAATTAGGATGAAGCAGTCAGTCCTTAGCTTGGTAAACAGAACCCTGCTTTGACTGGATGGCTGTTTATAAAGTAGTGAGTTTCCTATCACTTGAGGTATTCAAGCAGAGTGTGGATATCTGTTTCCAGAAATATGGTACAGAGGTTTGATTCGATGATGTCTGTGATTCACTCCTGCCTACTGCACTTGGGATTCCACAGAACCAACCCCACTGCAGTTCAACACTGAGCAAATCAACCATTGCGTATGCCCCATTTATGAGGGGATGCCATCTCACAGAGTAGCTTGGGGTTCAAATGAGATACAATGGGCCAAAAAGAAGATATTATTCATAATCCAGTGTCTGGAATACTATGAAAATGAACATTGTTCCTCATGTACTTTCAGGACAAAGTGAAGGGCAGGAAAGACACCGATACGGTACCCTTTCCCAGTCTCCAGTCTGTCGTACAACACGAGTAAAATAAATGCCAAGTCCACCAAACGTCATTGCTGATTCTAGCCAACGAAGCACACAAACTTCTGTTGAAAGATCTGGGAAATAAGCCTAATGGCATCAAAGCTGCTTCTATTATTTCAAATAAAAGTCCCAGTTTGGTGACAATATTCTATCACGATTCAGGGAATATGGCTTTCTCCCCACTCTGGCATAAAGGTTATTGCTAACTAGGGAGTCCAGCACGTTAGAATTTTCCAGCTTCCACTTGACTGATCAAGTAAATGTATACTTAAACATTCGAGAAAACAGAATTGCAAAGGTGTACAGTCTCTTCCCAAATCTGACCAGAGCATCCAAATGCTTCATTTGTCAAACACGACAGCAATCCGTTTCTTAGACTCATCACTTACCAAATCTCACTGGTTAATACTCGACACATGAGGAATCTAAAGAATATAGCTATGTTCTCAATCTCTGGCACTTTTATGAGATGGCTTACAAGTTTTCTACTAAGGCTTCTTTGAGAGATACACTGTAACAGGGTCTCTGCATTTACAAAATTTTAGGGGATTGTATAAATTGGCCAAACAGTGAATTGTTTAAAAATTACTGACAGAATAAGAGGCTTACCAAGATAAATATTCTAATGAGCTATAAATCCTGAAAATGTGATTTTAATTTGATGGGCTACCTAGAGCTAAGCAGCAAGACTGTATATCCTAAAATCTGACTAAATGCTAGCATGCATGCCAAGCGATTACATTTTAGATTTTCTCTTTAAGGAAAAGATTATGTTTAAACAAAGAAGCCCACAAATTTGACAAGTGAGTGTAACACTCTTGAACCTAATAACTTAGATGATTTCTCTCCCACTCATCTGATGGCTTTAACTGTAAAAGAAAAAGGATACAAAAGACACATTTCAGCAAATGAAGGGTCTTTAAATGTCCACATGGGTACCAGGAGAATTCGCTTAAAACAGCTTATAAAGATGGTAGAGTGAATGAGCCCCATCCTATTATTCAATAACCATGTTTGTGATGCATCTGCATAATCTAACCATGCATAAATTAGTATGTGTAATACAACACTTATTTGCATAATAATAGCAAGTTAATAGATGCTTAAAGAGCAGAGACCAACACCACCTTTAAATCAGACATGCCTCCAGGCACTTTGGCCTGTACAGACCAAGATGCCAGAAAAACAGGGAACACCAACCAGAGGAAAACAGTCAATCCATGCATTTTTCATCCCTCTAGACATTTCACTTATTTTGCCCCCTGCACACTGGGGAATCATTTTCAAACCACAAAACAGCTTTATATTTTAAGTGCTAGCACCCTTCTAAATAAAAATCTTAAAGAAATTATAAAGATTATCATCAGCAATGGTAATATAATGGACAGTTTATTTTCTTACAAATGTGGATAGGAATGGGCAAATTTTTAAAAAATTAGTATTTTCAGAATCACACCCCCATAAAATCAGGGGCCTGACTATTTGCTTAGCAAAAAGAATGATCTAGATCGGGTATTGTCACCCTTCATCTCAACCCTTTACTTGAAATAATTTTAACTGAAACCAAAAGCTCAAACAGTGTATCAAGAAAAGGCTGTGCCTCTCCTCTAACCTCAGTATGAGCACATGGCACTGGGCTAGGATAAGGAAAAACATCACCAATGTCACACAAAGGAAGAGCATGATGATGCCTTTCAACCTTTAACAAAGAGAAAAAAAAAATCTGGAGTTTAAAAAAAATCAAAAATCAATAGAGACTTCTAAATGACTCTTTTAAGATATCACTTTTCAATTTAACAGGACAGATTTATTTGTATGTGGCTCAAATGTTCACAATTGCTCCCTGCACCTTCATACATAGGAATGAATGTCACAGTGGCAAACGGCAGTAATGAACAATCTTACCTGAGGATATGGAAACCTCCCAAGAGCAAGCTGGGAAAGGAAATAATATTTGTCTAGTTATAGATTTGCATGCAGGGCAGATCTCCTTAAGACAGACAAGTACTAAACTTCAGAACTATACCCAGCAAATATAAAAAGCTCTCAACCCCGGATGCAGGAACTAAACTACTGCTGTAATTACAGTAAAAGTTGCATTTAGAATGGACATTTTCAATGGGCAATACTGCATTCCTGATTAAATATTTTAATTTTAACAACTAAACATTACCATTATGTGGTTTCTCTTAGGAACATTCTCAGCTCTATGGGCATTATTCACATTTACCTGTGTGCGACAGTTTTCATTTAGACAGAGATATAAAGCCAGAGCAGACCGAATTGTTCCCAGCCCACAGTTCTGTAGAGTTTTTAGTAACAAGTACATAGGCATTGTTGTAGGAAATGGGGAATGGGCCATATGAAATAGAAAATTTTGCCACTATTTTCATCAATTTATTTGTTTTTTCATTCATTTTTCTATCCACAGAAAAAAAAGAGCTACCACTAGTAGAAAAGTGGCTATTTCAAGGCTGCGAAGTCAGAACTATAGGTCTAAGTCTGAAATCAGGAACGTGGATCTTTGGAGAGCTTCCAATTTTGCTTGATTCATAAACTGCCATGTGTTTTTAGGCCAGTCACTTAATTTTGGTCTTGGAATTCTCACCTGTTAAAACTCAATGATTCAACCAGGAATAGAGTTGATATAAAGTAATAAGATAAAATTTACCAAATATACCGTAACATATTTTAAGAAAATAGCAGCAAAACTTTGAAACTTTGTAATGTAGCCTATCCTCAGGCCAGAAATCCTTTATATGTATTTGTAACTACTTTCAAAGTAGAATTGCTGTATCAGGGAACTTTGAAGCTGGAATGAATCCAAAAGAGCATCAATCCACTTCACAGATTAGAACCCAAGAGTGCCATTGAAGAAGTTCCCACACATTTAATCAGGAGAAGCCTGGGGCCTGACCCTAAGCCTTGCAACTTAATCCAGTGTTCTTTCCAGAGTTTTACATGGCTTTTCTACATCTTGAGAAGTTGTGCGTTTATTTCAAAAACAAGGACACTATGGAAACATTGCTGAACTCTTTTTTAGAATCATTTCAAATAACAAAAGAACACCTATTTCATTTTATTAGAACTGCATTTTACCTTGGCCTTAAAATTATACACCTCAGCTTTTTGATCATGTAAATTATTTGTTGACTAAGGTTTGAACGGCCTGTGGGTATTACCAAAACCCAAAGCCACCTTTGAAGAATAAATATTTTGTTCCTTAATAAGGATAGACATGAAGATACTGAGTTAATTTTTAAAGATTTAAAACCAGTCAGAGCAAAGCAATGTAATAAGGAATAAACCATATGACTTTGTAAGGTGACTACTTTGAAAAGGCCAACACTCATTTGGATGTATATTTATATATGTATGTGTGTTTTGCAATGCCTAGTCAGTTTCATTACCTTGTACTCATTCTTATATACTCAGAGTTCATTGATTTTCAAGATACAAAGTTATACTACCATTATTTCACTTAGTAAGTATCATTAATCAAGGGATTAGTATAAAGTACAGATAGCAAAAACATCACAAGATGGCAGGATGGAAAGAGAGTGTGGATGTTAATCAAATGCCCTCTCAGGTTCATGTGATTTTGTTTGTTGTCTACACACTGTTTTAAATTAGGAAGGGGAGAGACTCAGCTCTCCACTCCCTCTACTCTAATCCTACCCAATACAGGCAATCCATTTGCCTTATATTTTGTAAATACAGTGTGTTTCTGGCCAACGAGAGTGTGCACATTGATTCAGGGGGAGCTGCTGTGGTCTACACGGCAGTAATGATAGGCTAAGCGTTTGCACCATTACATTGACCTGACCGGCAGTGACAGCTCAAGAAAAGCTGTCACCTATCATCACACTCATCGGTGGATGACAAGTTTTGCACATCCTTCCATTTGGAATTATCAAACTACCAAGAGGAGGATCTCCCATCTAAAAAAGCTAACAACTTAATGACTAGTAGACAACATTTAGAGTATTTTATCTCAAGCCATTCTATAGGCCCTGTGCCACTCACTCGGGTATACGGTTCACGTATCACTGAGGACTGTGGAAGAATTCTGTCCACATGGCTTACCGGCAGAAGAACTTGCCCACGACACACACAGTTAAAATCTAAGTTAGCTGGCTGGTACCGATATGGGACGCTGGTTTTTGCTGAAGAACTAAATAAGCAATGATAAATGGAAGGCTTAAAAAAGAAGTGGCATAAAATGAAAAATATGAATTCTTTCCACTTGAACACAAAGCCTCAAATTCTCGACTTATTATTGTTCTATGGAGAGGCCAGGCTACAGTCAACTTGGGAATGTGCACTCATCTACTTGGTGCCCCCTGTCATAACTGGTACGATGTACTAAGGATGGCTGCTATCATTCCTCTACCCTGTAACATACCACCATGCACACAGAAAGAAAATTCAGTGCAGGCTGGTCAGCTGGGAGCCTCTCTGTACCAGTCTGCTTGGAACCAGGTGGCTGGCAGTGCTTGAACTGGTGAACTCATCGTTCCCGAGCCTGGCTTTGCTTTGTGTGTACTTTCCTGACATCCTATGAAATCTCAGTCCTGTCAACTACATTCCTGGGAGAACTGCTCTAAGGCATCTTGCAGCTCTGACCTCTTTGGAGCCAGAGGACACAGGATGGTTCCTCGTCCTTGACCAGAGCAGCACAACCATTATTTCCTCTCTCACGCAGCCTGTCACCACCGCGCTGCTCCAGCAGGAGGCCAAGGATTCCAGTTCTGCACCAGCGCAAACTGGCAGCAGCACCAGTAGGCTGGCACCAGAAGCAGTCATTTTAAGGCCCCGGGAGAGGAAGCTGCCTTCCACGTACGTCCCTGTCGCTCTAGGTTTAACGTAACTGTGGTGTTTTTGCTCCCCGCTATTTGTCTTGTGGCAAAATAGAAGGAAATACATAGCCAGGCCCCAGAACCTTTTTATCAAGTTCAATTAGGAGAAGGGAAGAAAGGAAAAGGTCTCTTAGCAGATATGGCTGCATGAAGAACAGGCTCCTCACGAGGCTGTCAAAAGTCAAAATAAACACGGAACCCTTATGAGAAAGAGGGAACACATACGCTGTGAGTGAATATTTCAGAGACAGACGGACCTGGGCCATTCTGTATCTTTTACCCCTACTGGTCTATTAATCTACTTGCATTTCCCCAGTTTTTATTGTCAAGGTATTATAAATTAGGAAACTTACAAAAGAGAGTATGTAATCTTCTCTGAAATGGCCTGCAGATATGTCACTGTACTAAATGTGTTTCAGATTTAATGAAGCTTTAATGTCCTTTTTAATTTTGCCTGTTTCTGTATCACCAGGGGTCGGGCAAGGCAATCAGCACTCAAGAGGGTGGTTTGGTTTAAAACTAGGAAAAAACTCATTTGCTTATGAGTTGCACTGTATTTTCTTAATTAAATTTACTGAGTAAAATGGTTTAAGTTCAGCCAACCAATGACCTTTGTATGTAGATTTAGATTTATAAATAGGTTAACAGTTAAAGGAAAGGGGAAAAAAAAAAAGAATCACAACAAACCAAACAGATTAGGACTAAGCCAATAGAAATCTTTGCTCTCTTTATCATCTTTACAAAAGAAGCATTTAAATATAGGCAGCTTAAGTCCAGTTAAAAAAAAAAAAAGTATATTGAAAAATGTGGATGCACATAAGCGCCAGCAATTCATCAAATGACTCTCATATCCTTTTCATTCCCAGGAGGGGAGCGGCCTGTGTTGTAAAAGATTTGGAAAAGCTTTATTTATTTTGGGGGGGGGGTTGTGGTGGAGGTAGAGATGGGGGAGGGAGAGGATTCTATTTAATGTTAAAGAAAAAAGTGCATTTTGAGTCCAAATACTTAAGATTCAGCAAACTGCTAAATACTCTGTTCGTTGTGGGAAATTCACTATGTAAAAGGCAGAAAAAGAATGCTCTGAAAACATTTACCATCGGGAATACATTTTAATAACAGTAAATCACTAACATTTCACTGTAAAACTAAAACTGTTCCTTAGTGTCATCTTACTGATCTTTGATTTGTCCAATCATAACCTATGAAATACTCTTGAGTTAGCCTCATTTGAATATGTTGGATTTTATAATTTAAATAATAAATATGTGTATGGGGGTGTGATCATAACGACTGCCAAATGCATAGCAACTGCATGATAGAAACATCTATATTTTAACAAAAAGAAGATATTTATTTACAAAGCAACAAAAATGGCTTCTGTTGGTAACACGAATAATTATGGTCATGAAGTCACAAATGATAAAGAGAAAAAATACACTGTAGCAAGAAAGCAAGTGGGGAATACAAATTCAGAATATGTTTTTGGTGAATCAAGTTTCTTAGAATATCAACAATGTGCTAATAGTTTTAAATTTACAGTTATACTGAAGAGCCCTGGATTTTTTTTTTTTATTCTTAATTTAGACATACTCTGTGTTTCTCGGCATAACTGCAAATTGAAAATAAGCATTTTCAATATAGCCAGTGATCTAGCTGAAGGAGGACTTTATAGTCTGAAATGTTCTAAAATTTGTTCTTAATTACCTTGTGCACATTTTACACAATTAAATTTCCATCTAAGGATCTTGCATTTAGATTGTGCACTGCAGTTAAACCTTCATTTTATAGAAATGCAGCAGTCACTTTGGAACATTCAGACACGGGGAAACTTTAAAAAATCAGACTTAACTACTGGATTACATAAAATTCCCTAGGTGAGATTTCATCCCAAGACCAATTTACACAGTCCTAGAGAGAGAGTTTAAATCATCTGAAACTATGCTGGTGAAGAACCATAATAAATATTAAATACCTCAAGATCTACCCTAAGATTTGACTTTTCTTCCCATGTATCAATTTCACTATCCCCTTACTGAATGGTTTAAAAACAATCCAAAGGATATAACAGCAATTTAC